ATGGGATCAAATGGAATTCACAACAGAATTTGACATCCTAATCATCTCATGGCTTACTATGTATTTATGTTTCATATTTGAGGAATTACGATGGAAGTTTAGGATATTTTCTAGCTAATATGATTGCATGATGTTGCCGCCCCATTTTCAAAATATATTTTCATTTTTATTTTTTTAAGTTAAAATTCTTTTTCTTTATTTATGTATTTTTTTCTTACATAAGCATTTTTTTTTATTAATAGTCTGGTTTTTTGAATAAAAACTCATATGATTGTATAAGCAAGTTTCAATTAAAAAAAATCAATAATTATTTTATGCATAAAGAATCGAATTTTAAATTATTAAAAAAAAAAAAACCAAGAAAATCAAGTTTATAAGCCTGTAGGTTTCAAAGGCTAGATCCCCAAGCCTAACTGAAAAAAAAACCTAAATATACCTATCCTTTTAAAAAAATGAACAACACATAATATACTTAAATGAACAATATGTCATTTCCTCCAATAATTTCCAACCATTTATGACGATAAGAAAATCAAAGTTTGCAATTTTTATTAACAAAAACTATATTTTAATATCAAAATAAAATATCACATGAATTTTTATAACCATATATCAACCTTAAAAAACATTCTAAATAGTTTAAAAACTCAAAATCAAATCAAAACACACCTTTTGAATTATAATCTACCTTTTCTAACTTTATTTATGTTCAAACCACCATCATTGAATTTGTATTCTAAGGACAAAAATAGTGACATCAATATTATTTTTTTATGGCTGAATAAAGCCTTTCTCTTTTATCTCTTAATTGTTAGGTAGAGTTTGATTATTATTTTGAGATAAAAAAGATAGAGAAAATAAAGACAAAAAAGATATGTCCTCAACTAACTATTATTTTGAAAGTATAAAAATTTACTTCAAAATTATCGCAAAAATAAATTTATTTTGTATGTCTATCTTTGTCTTTTTAACTAAACCTTTCTCTCTCATATTCCTCTCTTACATCTTTCCTTCCTTTGTCAACTGGTAAGTAGTATTTGATTATTATCTTGAGATAGAAGAGATAAAGATAATGTGGTACGAACACATCCTAAGACACGTTAAAATCATATTTAATTAATTTGCAACTTGACCCAACAAGAACCTATCTTAAAGAACTAAAGTTATACATAATGATAATCCTCACATCCATAATGATAATCTCCACCACCTTATATTTTTAAAGAGATGTAAATAAGTAGTATAAAATCATAACAACGTTTGATCTATCATTCAAAAAGTTAACAAGTTAAATCAAGAACTTAGTATGGAAACAACTCAACCATACAAAAGATAACAAGACTACTGATTTCTCTATTAAAATAGTCTAACCTTAAAATGCTTGTACAAAAGAGTAGAATCCTAAGTTTAATAAGATATTCCTAATGTATATAGATAAACCTAGTTAATATTAATGATCCAATAAACCCAAATTTAAATAAAGTCTCTAATATCTCTAAAAGACTTAATGATAACTAAAAAATAAATAAATAAATAGCCAAATTAATTTAAATAAAACTAAAGTTGTTTTTGTAATCTACTGGGAAAATTGAATCTCAACTTCAAATGCATGGTTTCATCTCTTCTTAATGAATTATAATGCTTTCTATATATCATTAGAAAGATATGGATGTCTACTTTCCAATACAACTAAAATTATATTAAAATTTCTTATGGAGATCTAATTATAACAAAACATTTAGCTAAATGTCAAAACTATTAAATTTAAATCTTCTTATTCTAGTATATTTTGTAATGCTTGAATGTCTATCTGCAAGACTTTCTTGAACATGAATCAAATTAATCAAAACTTGTTCTTCATTATTTATTATCTTCTTGAATTCCACCTTAGTTCATGTGTCTTGAAGAAATCTATTGAAAACCTATTTGGACCTCTTAATCCTAACTTTTATTACTAGGCCAACTGAAACCTTAAATTGATCTCTTGGTGTTGCTTGGATTGTATCATAGTGGAGACAAAAAGGATATGTCCCCATGTACCTATTGTTTGGAAAGTATAAAAATTCACTTTAAAATTATTCCAAAGACAAATTTATTTTGCAGTTTTGTTTTCGTTCCTTTAACCAAATATATTTATGTTCTTTTTGTATTTATCCCTTCTGTCTTGGGACACTAACCAAATGCAACCTAAGGGATTAAAATAAAGTTGCATGATCAAAATGTAAGTTTTCAAAATTATAACAATAAAAATGCAAAAATTGTCTCCTAAACTATTAAGTGAATAATGATTTGTAAAAGTGTGAAAAAATGTTTTGTGAATAATAAAAACATGCTCTCTTTTAGTTTATAGCTATAAAGATTGTTAAATTTAACTTTCAACTAGTTGATCTAGGAAACTCAAAACTCATAACTTGATCCATACCAACTTTTTAGTTGTTCATTGACTTCGCAAAACTTAGTTAACAAACTGGTTTTTTAATGACTTAATTGATTCGGCTAAACTTGATCAAGTTAACATATATAGAAAAAACTGAAACATATTTGTTTTAATAAGAAAATGACTAACCTAAGTTGATTGGATAACTTAGAGGTTGATATGGTAATATAATAACCTTAATCTTAACCCCTTGAAAGGTGATATAATAACCTTAATCTTAACGCTTTTTCAAATTAGTCTTTAATGTTGAGTTTGAGAAATATGAATAGAAGTACTAGAACACATATAAAATATTTCTTTAATCAAATTAGACTCAAAATAAAAATTAAATCTGAATAATTTTTTTCCTCTTCAACAAAACAAGAAAGAATCAATATTTACATAAACATAAAAAAACTTATGAACTTGTTATTTTTTTAAGGATGTATTTGGCATTTAAATTTAGCTCTAGTAAGCAAGAATATCTTGGGCTTGTTATCATGAATCTATAGGCCAACTATCTTTAAAGCTCCTATTTAAGTCTAACATACTTACTTTTTAGCTTTTTGGATGGGTTTGATAATGGTGGGCCTAAAGGCTTTTGTAACTGCCTTTTGATTTCTCCTTCCTCTTATAGTAGTTTCAAATCAATTATAATTTTACATTTTCTATATTGCCAACAGGCTTTATTGATTAACTAATCTAATATCTAAGTCTAAAATTTTTTGGCATTATCATTTAACGTTAATGCACTCATATAAATTATGCAAAACCAATTATAAGGGTGAGATAAAGTATTTTATCAGCATAAAATTGTACGATAATTTATTTTCTTATTTTTCTTCCTCTAAGTAAACTTCAAACATCTCTGTTAAAAAAAGAAAAATAGTTGTAAGTTTCTTTACTGATTATGTAAAATCATCACATAAGTTGGGTTTAACAAATGTCCTAAGTAAAAAATGGATGAATACAAAAAAAGACATAAACACGTTTGGTTTAAGAGAAAACATAGGTAATGTTTGATTATCGCTTTAGTACAAAATAAAAAAAGACAATAAAACAGATGAGATATAAACAAAATTGTATTTGATGGTGGCGTACAAGACATAAAATTATCTTTGTGTCATGTATAGTTAATGATGTATGAGACATGGTAAAATATATAAAAAATCTATTTTAGCTTAACATGTATTACTATCAAACTTATAACTTTTAAAAGATAATTAGATATTATTTTTTTACTTTAGATTATATTGATTGTTGAAATGATAGTATAATAATCCTAGTTATAAACCTGAACTAGCATAGTGAATTAATTGACATGAGACTTGATAATCTCGATGCTTGAACCATTCCAAGTTTGAAAAAATTTAAAGAATGACTGATTCTGTCTAATTCGATAAAAACCCTAGATAAGCATATGACTTGTTTACCTTATGATAAAACTCAATCAAAACACTTTGATTTTTTTTTATATAAAAAAATTAATCAAAATGATATCGTTTTGATCCTATAAGAATTTTTTGTTAATTAACCTAGGTTGATCCTTTCGAATTATGACTTGAGTCTCGTCTCATGACAAGTTTTAAAACTATAATAATAATCATTTTTTTTCTTATATATTTTAGTTGAAAACAAATTGAAATTAAAAGTTTTTTAAAATGATATTTTAGGAATAAAAATAATAAATATTATCTTTGGAGATATGTTTCCTTTACACCTCTTGTTTTTAGAAGTGTTGTTACCTATTTTTGGGGTCTGTATAAACAAAAACTTAGAAAAATACAAATTAAAATAATTGAAAGAAAATAAAAATATACCAGTGAGATGAATATACTATGATGCCTAAGAAATTATTGAAAACTGGATGATAAAGATCAAAATATACAAGATTGAAAAATCTAACAGTGCATTTTTTACTAATGAAGGCCTTATTAACAAATAAAAATTCAATTTAAGAAAGAAAATTTAAAATTGAATGTTTAAGAACTCAATTGGAGGTTTTTAAGGTTTAATTGAATTTATTGAGAGCTTGTTGCAAGAAAAAATAATTTTTGAAATCAATTTAGATTTTAATTAAAAAAAATTAAAATTTAGTGATCGAATTGTAAATTTTAAGAGTTAATTTGATCAAATTAAAAATTTAATTGCACAAATAATAATAATAACAACAACAATAATAATAGTAATTATTTGATCTAATACCCAAGGTTACCAATTTGAAAAATTTTCATATCTTAATATTTTTTTTATATTATATTTTTTAAAATTTTATTTTTTAATATTAAATTTTTAAAATAAAAAAATCTATTATTCAGCTATTTTTTATATATTTTATTAAATACTCAAGTCAACAAACATTGAGATTTATTTTATTGCTGAAGTTTATTGTATTACAAAAAAAATCCTCGCAGCATCTCCTTCAAATGAACTAGTTTATAGTACAGTAGGAGAAACAAAATTTACAATATAATTATTTCCCTAAAATATCGTGCCTTATTTATTTATTTTTCTTAAACAGCGGGCTTGAACTCCTACCTCTAAATGGGCCAACTGAACCCAGCCCACAACTAAACCCAAAAACCCACTGTGTCAGCTGACTCTCTGAGGCAGCCAGTCCTGTTCTCTTCTGTCTTGAGATCGAAGAAAACTTTTCTTCTTAAACCACAGTCTCTCTGTCTCTCTCTCTAACCCCTACAAAAAGAAAAAGCACAGAGATAGAAGCTGAAGAAAACAGAAGCATAAAACGATGAGCAGCATAGGAACAGGCTACGATCTGTCGGTCACTACTTTCTCGCCGGATGGCCGTGTTTTTCAGATCGAATACGCTGCTAAAGCCGTCGATAACAGTGGGTCTGTTTCTTTCCGTTTTCTTTGTGCTTGTAAATTTCTACCCCAATTTCTTTCCTTGGATTTGCTTCACTAGCATTATAGCAATTTTTTTTTGTTTTGTTTTTGCAGTACTGTTATTGGAATCAAGTGCAAAGACGGGATTGTTATGGTATAAATACTATTCCTTTCTTTAAAAGATTGAATCTTTTTCTATTTGGTTTTTGTGATTGTAGTTGGAATTATAGTAATTAAATGGTTAATTGTTTGATTTTAGGGTGTGGAGAAGCTAATAGCTTCGAAGATGATGTTACCCGGTTCCAATAGGAGAATCCACGCCGTTCATCGTCATTCCGGCATGGTACTGCCTTTTTTTATTTTTATTTAGAAAGTTGCAGAAAATATAAGAAAAAAGCTGGGTTTTTTTCTTTCTTTCTTTACAATGTTTGTACTAAATAGAGCTCAATTTTGTGTCTTTTCATTGCTGTTTGTTGGGTTTTGGTCGGAGATTTATATCATTTGAAATTGATGAAAATTAATGGTCGTTGATGATTTACATGACATTAGTGCTTTTAATTTCAACTTCTTACGGGATTTGAGCTTGGTTTTATTTAGCTAAAGTATCCGTATCCATGTGCATGTGTTTCGATTGCTTTTATCATGCCTGATTAAATGGGGTCTTGTTTAGGGTCAGTTAGTAGGCTTAGTTTGTGACGCGATTATGGGTTATTGCTGAAACTAACAATGATACAAGCTAGGGTTTGAATGTATTTGAGGTGGTTTTTTTAGGTACATGGTGAGAGCAAATGATTACTGTATCACAGAAGGTTGACTAAGTCTGTGAGTTAGAGTTTGTAGGTTTTGTGCTGGAAGTTTGGGTTTCCTAATGAAATTCCACTGGAGAGAGGCTAGATTAAGCTTAATTGGTGGTGCTGGTGATGAAACTACACTGAGAGGCTAGGTTAAGCTTAACTGGAAGAACTGATAATAACATTTTTTTTTCATGTAATTTTCACTTAGATTTCATATTTACTTCCCCATAGAGAAAGGGTGGTAGAAGTTCCTTTTTATTTTATACAGAATTATAAGGTTGTAGATTGTGTTGTTATTTCAAGCAAAAATGTGCTTTAGGAGAGATAAGGAAAGGTCAAGTCAATGCTATGTTCTGTAGCATTTCATTTACTAGACATGTGTTCACATATGTTATGAATGAAGCAGAATATTGCTTGTGTTATCATTTATCACTAATCTGTTCCTTGAACTCCAAACCGCATGCTTATTAGAGATATCTACATGAGATGTGTTTATGGATCTTGTTCTTAAGATCAATCACTTTGATGAAGAATTTTGTATTGTTCGGGTGACTTTATAGAAGCAAACAGTAACTCGCTCTCTCTCTCTCCCCCTCATACTTCAAATATAAGGCTGTTGCTGGTCTAGCGGCTGATGGGAGACAGATTGTTGCACGAGCCAAAAGTGAGGCAACCAATTATCAGAGGTTTGTTTTTGAACAATGCATTGTTGCAAGTTTTATTTTTACTCTGAAGCTTGCTTGAGTATTGAGTAGAAAACTGTTATAGATACACATCCTAGTAAATTAGCTTTCGGTAGCAGATTAGGTGCTTTTGCCTCAGTCATAAGTCGGTCACTGAAAATTCAATTATGAACATTGCATGCATGAACTTCGTGCAGCTTCCCACTAGTGCCTCCTAATCTTGCTGATTGCTCAGTCTGTTATAATTTTTGTTAAACTTTCTTCCTTTTGATATCTTAATGTTTTGGTTTTGATTCCATGCAGGCATTACTGTAGATGCCCATTCTCATCATTTGTTTTCTATGTAATCATCAGTGCTATAGATTGAACATGGACTCAGTAGCTTGATTGAAAATTGCCTTTCTGATTTCTTACACCTTAAGTTTGCTAATCCTTGGCATGCCATATTCTGATTTTGTAGTGTTTATGGTGAACCCGTTCCTATCAAGGAGCTTGCAGATCGTGTTGCTAGTTATGTGCATTTGTGCACTCTCTATTGGTGGCTTAGGTAAGTACAGAATTTATTGGTAAATTTTTTTGTTGGTGATTATGTCCTTTTGCACCTCTTGGGTTTCCTTCAGAAAAAGTACATAAACATTGTTGATGCTGCAGGCCGTTTGGTTGTGGGGTGATTCTTGGTGGTTATGACAGAGATGGGCCTCAATTATACATGGTCGAACCATCTGGCATCTCCTATGTGAGTTGATTTGTCATGGTTATGCTTGCAGTCTTTGCAATGTCCCCCACCCCGCTCTGATTTTGTTACATGCTGTGTTTGTTAACTAATACCATGTAATTTGATTTTATGTAGAGATATTTTGGCGCTGCAATAGGGAAAGGGAAGCAGGCTGCTAAAACGTAAGTTATAATATTCCCTATTGGTTTGGGGAGTTTAGATAGCTGTATGATTTTATAGCCAAGACTTGTGACATGATCTGAATTTTAGAAACTTAAAAATGATTTGCTCTCATCTTAAGCCACTATGTCAATTGATCAAGCAACAGCCACTTTAAGTGGAGGAATTAATCTTTATAATGGTTTAATTTTGTTAGCCTGTTTCACATTATCATTATTTGCTGTATTTCTGCTATTTATATTATCCTTTAGCTAACGTTTAGCTTGTGGTCCCTTTTCTTTATCAAATGATTGAATTAATGGCATGGACAGAGAAATTGAAAAGTTGAAGCTATCTGAAATGACATGCCGAGAAGGGGTTATTGAAGTAGCGAAAATGTGAGTGCTCCATTTATTTTTCTTAATCTCCCTTTTTTCTTGCATGTATTTTTTTTTTAATTATTATTGCATTCAATAGATTTTTCTTTGTTTCCTTTCTGAGTCTGGGCCTTTTTGTCTATCAGCAAATGTGCTTGTTTGACAATGCTTGGCAACCCTTGGCTCCTTTTTCTTTGTTTTCCCCCCCTTCCCTTCTTAATCCTTGCTGATGCCTTTGGCAAAGTTTAGATGATGTAATGACATGTTTATATCTCAATTGCTGATCTTATTCACTACTTCATGTGACATAGAATTTTTTTGATGAAAAGAACCCATCTTATTAGACATAATCTACAGTTGTAACTATAAATATCTATAGAGAGCAAGCGAAAAGAATCATAAAATGGAGGAAGATCCTTCAATCTCTCTGTCACTCTCCAATTGGTGCGTTATTTGTAGCATGTGCATGTGTATTGAGATACTTGGACACTATTTGAAATCTTCCTTCTCCCTGGATCAGCATTTACAAGGTACATGATGAAGCAAAGGACAAGGCCTTTGAACTGGAAATGAGCTGGGTTTGTGACGAATCAAAGAGACAGCATGAAAAGGTAATTCTCGTGGATTCTAACTCGCAATTTTATGATGTGAAAGCCAGACTTGTCTTGCTGTTATTTATTTAAGGCTTTCTTTTTCGTTTTGAACGTTCTTTGAATGTGTTATTTTATAAGAACATATGACAATTCTCTCTTGATGTTGCAATGAATCTGAATGTTTTATTGTTATTATCGCGGGCTTAGGTTCCTGATGACCTCTTAGAGGAAGCCAAGGCAGCTGCTCGGAATGCTCTGGAAGAAATGGATGCTGATTAAAAAGCTTAATAGAGCTGGAAATTCACTCCTTTGAGATTACTGTTGTCTTCCTGTAATCGTTTCCCACTTTTCCCCTTGTCAGATACCAAGTGGGTTTATGTTTTTGTTTTTTTGAACATGGGAAACTTCAAGTGGGTTTATGCTAGTGTATTGCTGCGGTTACAAGTAATTTATCCTCAACCTTTTAAACTCTTGTGTCCCGTGGTTTTTGCTGTTCTTATAATTCAGTCTTCATGCACTTTAAAAAAGCACATGCTTGCTCTAGCACAAATTTTCCACGATACCATCTCGGAGCTTATTACAAATCCTTTCCATGAATCTATTTGGTACTAAAAAGAAAAACCAATTGGATGCCTTGCACACTGTCAATGTTTATAGATTTTTATTTGGAATGGTTATTTTTCGGAAATATATAAAAATAGTATACTTTTTAAAATTATTTTTGATAATAGCGCAATTAAAGTGAAATAAAAATATAAAAAAACTAAAAATATTAAAAAAAATTTAAATTTATTTTAGAATTTTTTAAATAAAAAAATAAACAGGTTTTAATGTTCAAATTTCGGAGTTTCCATTTTTCCTGGATCTCCTCTCCTTGTGGGCTTGCTTTTCTCTTTTAGGAATTTTGAGAAATATATGTTGGGCTGTGGTTTCAAGTAATAGTAAAAGACATGTCTCCACGCGCCCCCAATTCAAGTTAATTTTTAATGTGAGCGAAGAAAGTAATGTGTTCTGATATCAATTTTTTAATTGAAAAAAAAAACAGTACATGATTAATAAAATTAATTAAGAAAATTACTAATTAATAAATTAAAAAAGTTATAAATACTAATAAAAAATTAAAGAAGGAAGTTTATATTTGAGCAAAAACTAAAAGCTAGTTACAAATATTTTATATCAATTGTTGTGTTTATTTTATACATTTTTCTTGTATTCTTGGAATGTGTTTTGATATCAATTTTTTAATTGAAAATTAAAAAAAAAACAGTACATGATTAATAAAATTAATTAAGAAAATTACTAATTAATAAATTAAAAAAGTTATAAATACTAATAAAAAATTAAAGAAGGAAGTTTATATTTGAGCAAAAACTAAAAGCTACTAACAAATATTTATATCAATTGTTGTGTTTATTTTATACATTTTTCTTGTATTCATGGAAAGAATGCTGCAAAAAAAAAAAGATTTGTTGCAATGTTTTTCAAAGGAACCATAAATAAAAACACATGAAATATTTGTAGAAATAAAGATTTTAAACGCAATAAAAAAGATTACTGTAATCGAGGTAGGTGAACCCTTATAAATATCAGGTTCCTGCATATATAGGCCAACTTTCATGATATCAATAGTCGATTAACTTAACCAATTTACGGACAATTTAGCCCGACTAAACATTCTGGGTCTAAAGGTATGGATGTCATGGATATAATGGGTTTCATTTTGACCCATAATTGTATCCAACTTAATTTTTTATATTTTACAAAATATAAACCCAACTTATTTTTTTTTTTTTTAACTTGAACAAGTTGGATATATCAACAAGGGTTAAAATTTGTGGATATTACATATATTTAAGGATTGAGTATATTAATTTTATTATTATTTGATCATCTTAAAAATAACATCGAGTTGCAAAAGAACTTCAGTTATATGAGTAAGAAAAAAAAATTGATGAGTAATTAAGTACTTGAAGTTCGAAAGAGAGAATTGAAGAGAAAAAAGATTAATAGAGTGAGAGGTGGCTATAAGTGTGAAGGCAAGGGAGGAAAAAAATTAAGAGAGACAAGAAAAAAATTATTTATACCAATAACTAGATTTATTTACGTTAGGTTATATATGTTGGGTTAGTTTGAACGAGTTTTAAAAATTCCAACACGTACCCGATCAACCAATTAGATTTTACGATGATCAAGTTAACACCTTCTAAGAGCTTGTTTTGAAGTTTTAGATCTTTAAATGGTATGATATTTTTTGCAAATGAAAAAGGAACATCCCCTCTATAACCATATTTCCATGAAATCATACATTTACATTCCAATTTTACTATGAAAGTCTTTAACATCTTGTCCTTGATTAATCATCACTCAATTTTCAAATATGGGGCTGATTAGTTGACACCTTTGAATGAATAAATATAGAGCTACAAATATCCAAATTGAGTAAGAGTTGATCAAAATAAAAGATTTGCACCCTCTCTAATAGATTCAAGTAGTCTCAAGCGACGATGATATCATAATTGCTCCAATGAAGCCTTGAAAGTTGGCAACTCAGTTGGCCTCGACAATGCAATTATTTTGCAAAAAACGATTTGGTTTTCATGTGTTTAAATACAAAGGCTTCTCAATGGGTCCTTATCAAGGGTTTATAACACTCATATCAAGATTAAAAGGTCAGAAATTGATCTAAGACTACCAAAACCCTATAAATACCGCTTCTCAAGCATGCTTAGAGGCTAGAATAGAGAAAAGGGAAAGAAAAAAAAAGGGTTGAGAACAAATAAGAAAAAAAAGAGTGATAACAAAAAAACATATAAAGTTAGAGGTTCAAGAGTAAAAACCAAGTTTTTCTTAAGCTTTATAAGCTTGTGAGAGGCAAACTTTCCAAAGGAAAGCCAAGAGAAAATAACTTGTTCTATGTATACATTGCAGACTCAAAAGTAGGTCTTTTATGACATGATTTTGTTGTTTTTTTTATTTGTTTTGTTATGTTTAGAAGCATAAAAAAAGGTTTGAATACTTAACAAGCAATGTTCCATTCATCTCTTTGTTGTTTTGATTTCTATTTAATATAGTTATTTTAATTTTTTTTTTGTATGAAAGTTTTTGCTTAAGGTTTTCTTTTGATATACAAATGTTGTTTTAAGCTTTGATTTAGTTTAAGTTATGCATGTTAATGCAAATGTGTTTATCCTTAGCTTGTTATGCCTTTTTATACATAAAAAAAGGTTCGGAAAATCAATTTTGAATCCATGTTGCATGAACATGTAGGTTTTTTAAGTTGTTGGTTTCTAGATTTGGTATCTCATGCTTCATTTTAATTGTTTGATTTTTTTATTAATTTTTTAAAATTCAAACATATTTGTATATGATATTGTGACTTGTTGGGACAAAAAAGGCATGCTTTAAAAGCCAAAAATGTTATTTTCTGGACTTGATAGAGGATGCCTTTGCTGGAAACTTTTTGGGTTTTCTAGGCATGTTCTTTGTGTTTTTGCTGGAAACATTGCCTTATCCCCTACATTCATACCATGTTTGATTCATTTCTTTGCACAAAATCCTTTCTTTTGGATGAATAACCAATAATCTATTATTTATTTGCACCAATAACATGTTTATAATTATTTTTAATCATAGTGTTTTGGTTTTGAACTGAAACTGATTTTAGTCAAATCATGATAATTTAACAAAAATCAAAGTGAATGAACCATTAATTTTTGATCCTTGAATAATGTGCAACCTTTGTGTGCTTTTGATCTTGTAAAATCTGGTCTAAATTTGAGTTCATATTGCTAGGTTCATTTGGGTGTCCTTGGTGTTCAATTTTTGTGTGTTTAATCCATTTTGTTCAAGAATTTTTAATTTTTTATATTTTTCAGGTGTTTAATATATTCTTTTTCTTTATTTTTGTTTTTAAGTTGTTTTCGGGTGAAACAAAGATTTTTGCTTTGGTTTATGGTCAAGCCTAAGATTCTAGGTTAACCCGGTCGGGTTGACCAAAGGGTCGGGTAAAAAGAATAATTAAAAATATATATTCTTTCTTGCATATGGCTAAATATCCTAAAGTTATATAAACATATTTTCTAAAGAAAATCTAAATACTTGGACATGTTTTTAAAAGGAAAAATATGGCTTGGATTTTACAGCAAGTTTGTATATTCCCACAAGATTTTGACCTACATTTCAAAAATATCAAAATTATATTTTTGATTCTTTTAATATATGTGATTATAAACTTAAACGTAAGACATATTCTTAACTTTAAATTAAAAGACAATTTTTTTTTTGGTGGCATTAAAATGGTTATTTTTTTTTATTTTGATAAGAAAATGATCTCTTTACTGAGAATAATTTTTCTTAAACTTTAAAAATACCAATGATTAGAAAACACAACTTTTCCTTACTTTATATCAGACAAATAAAAATTACAGCTTACCTGTAAAAACCTGAAAAAAATTAAATTAAAATGTTATTATATACGTGATAAATAAAGTAATAATTAAGAAATTAAATAGGAAAATATAAAGACATCAAGAATGTGACTTAAATTGTAAAGAAAAGAAAAGAATAGGGCCAGTGTATAATTAGGAAGAATAGGGGCTATAAATACCCCATTCATTCCTATTTCATGGCCGATTAGAAACTAGAAAGAGAGAGAGGGGGGGGGGGGGGGGGGGAAAGTTTTCAAGTTTTCTTCTTCAAAAGAAAAGGAAAAACACCAAATCACGCAACATCATTCCAACCTAGGAAACCCCTATCTCTCATGTTTTGTTTTTTCTTTTTTTATGCTTCATACCAAAAATTACGCAATCTACTTCACATAACCAAAAATTACATTTTGAAATATAAATTTTTGTCTAAAAAAATCTTGTATTGTTTTCGATGTTACCTAGTTGCTGCGTGATTTTTCCACACCCTCTTCGCAATAGTGTTATGCTCACTATCCCAGCAGAATTTGTCCTGTGTATAAATAAATAATTTTAAATAAAAATAAAAATTTATTTATAATTATATTAATAATTTATTAGAAATAAGTTGAAAGTTATAAATTAACACCAACCTCAAATGTGTCAAACCATGCATTGATTTGAGGCATCCATTCAGGATGCTTGGATATCTAACTCCATTGAAATAATGGAATCTCCATCGACAATTTAAACACCGATGATATTACTCGAGCGGCCTCAATGTTTGTGAACCTGAAAATAAATGAAATAAATTCAATAGTAATTACTTCATAAATTATGTTACATTTTTTTTTATAAAAAAACTAAAACCTTAATAAACTTACATTGAAAGGTTGTCCTTTCACTCTGCCTCGTACTTGCGGGTAAATTGATTTTGTTGCGAAGGCATGCCGCCTCTACGCTGTGAACTAGCGCTGGAAGAGGCAACATTGGTTGACGGCGCAAGTGGTGTAGGTACCTCTTCTTGAGAGACACCTAAGGAAATATCATCCTCGCTGCTAGACGAACTAGCTGCGACCATACGTGAACAATCGTGACCAGCTCTGGTTTTCATTCTATGCATCTACATAATTTTATACAAATAATTATATAATTAAATTCAAATGTTAAAAAAAATTCAACAACACCTCCCCTATATTGGATACTAACTAAATTCATAAACCTAAGGTGAAAATTGGTGGAGAAGAAAAAATGAATTGAAGAGGCAGTCAGTGGAACTTATATGTCAGTTTTACCGACGGATTCACCGACAGAGATAAAATTAATTATTATTTTAATTTATTCCATCGGTAATTTTTGAATTTCACACCAAAATTTTTAATGACCCTCCATATTTTTCGTGGGTCATCGGTAATTCCATCGGTAATGCATTTAATACACTGCCCTTTGGAATTTGCACAGTCCGTCGGTAATTTTATCGGTAAAATTGACCCGCCGACAACTTACCGATGGACATAAATCCATCGGTAAACACGTCGGTGATTGTGGTATTTTAAGTAATTATTTTTAAACTCTCTGTAAAATACTAACGAACATGTTTCGTTGGTACGGACGTCAGTGATTGTGGCATTTCAAGTAATTGTTTTCGAACTTTTTGTGAAATGCCGACAGACATTATTCTGTCGGTATGGACGTCGATGATTGTGGCATTGTACAAGAAAGGTTGTGTTTGTATTGTGACACGACCAAAATATTAACGTCTTCTCCCAAGTGTAGGAGTGTCAAAGTAATAAATAACCCGGCAAGACCGGAGTCGATCCACAGGGAGGTTAATTGTATAAATTATAAATGACAATAATATAACAATAATAACAATAACAATAAGAACAACAACAATCATACCCCTGGGTCTGACAACCATACTTGATCCAAGTAATAATGATAACAAAAATAATAATAACAATAACAATAACAACAACCATGCTATACCTAAATTTAGTAGGATTTGACAACATGCCCATAAATGTCAAGGTTAGAGGTTTCACTAAAATAAGATAACTAATGTAATCATGTTAACTATCATAACCCAATTCTAGGTTATTCCCCAATTTTTGACCCGTGTTTTGATAAATTTTTAGAAAAATAAAAAAATAGAGAAAAACAACAAAAATCCAAAAAATATATTTTTAAATATATTTGCCTTGTTTTTAGTATTTTCAGCATCATCTCAAAATAATTTAAATTTTCAAAGATATTTGGAATGTGTTCAACTTTTAGCGTATTATTTTTAAAACCATTGATTTTTCTTATTGACCGATATTGATATTGCTTGTTTTCAAAAAAATACAAAAAATTAAAAAAAATTAAAATTTACAAAAAAATTGAGGGATTAATTTTGAGACCCAAGCAATATTTTGCCTATAAATAATAGCCTTTTACACGCCAAAAAAGGGGAATTTGACAATAAAGAGGGGTAATTTTGCAATTAGAAGGGGTAACAAAAAAAAAAAGAAAAACCCAAAAACCTAAATTTCCTTCTCCCTCATCTGGAGTCGCCGCCCCCCTCCCCGTTTTCAATTGTTCTCCCTTTTCCCGACCGACAGCCAGCCACTGAGCTTCCCTCTTCAACAAGACCGGTACCTCCCCCTCAGCCACGGCCTCTCTCCTTCTTCCTCTGCCCAGCAGCCACCCCGATCTCCTTCTCCACCAGCTCCCTCTACCCAACGCCACTCCATTTTCTTTTCAACTCGCAGCCGATCTTCCCCCATTTCATCTCATTTTCAGTTGACAGCACAGTAGCCCCATCTCTTCTCAACCAGCCGGTCTCTTCCCTTTTCCTCCGCCGGAGCTTCAACGGCTACAGACCCACGGTCTTCACTGTCGGTAGCAGCGACGGCCGAACACCAGCAGCGTTTTCTTCACCTTCGGTCTCTTCAACAGCGGCGCCCACAGATCCCGAATCAGTCCACCTTCTTCCTCCGACAGTAAACCAAGCACAGCGGTGCCCATGGTCCTGCGCACTGTTCTGGCTTGCAGAAGGTCTTCAATGCAATTTCTGGAGTTTTAGGGACTATTTTGTAAATTTTAAATTATTTAATGTAATTTTTATTTAGGTTTGAATTTTTTATAATTTGTAATGTGGGTATAACAAAAAAAAAAGAAAAAAAAAGAATTTTTTTATATATTTTTTTATGATAAAATTGCAAAGATTAAAGAAGAGTTTAATATTTTGATTGGATCACGGTCTAGAATTATAAATTTGAAATTTGTACGGAAGTTGTATTTTTAAAATCTGATGAAAAGATAAAATTTTTAAAACTTCTTTAACACATCACAACCACGAAGCAGCTTACCTTACGTAAGGTGTGTTAGGGGTACTAATATCTTTCCTAACCACAACTAATCCCTTATCTATGAATCTCTGCTAAGATCATTATACTCGGGTTCCCTATTAACCCGCAATTAAACACTAGATCATTATACCCGGGTTCCCTAGTAACCCGTAATTAAACACTAGGTGGTGACTTTTAACGAATCCAACAAGATCAAATCAAACATAATAAGAAAAAAAGCGCCAGCTGACACCGCGTGGATTTTTGACGTGTGACAAGATGGCGACTTCATTGGGGAAGGTACTATTTCTGACAATATTGGACTAAGCTTTGTGTATTTGATGTGTTTAAGCTTTTGCATTTTTATCTTGTTTTATTTTTATTTTATCCATGCATTTTTAGAATTGTTACATGCATCACTTGTATTTATTTTTGAAAGCACACATAAGCTTCTAAGTTAGGTGGGGAGTAGCAGTCTGCCTCATGACTTTCAGTCGAGGTTCAGATTTGTGAGACATCCAACTATGAACTGAGTGTTTACTTGGTAATGGCGGTCACACTGTGCCCAAACCATTCTTTGTAAACCCCTATACTACCTTTACGTGAGGTGGTCACTAGATAGTTCATAGACCCTTTTAAGACTAGGTAGAAAGCCTACCTATATTCACATAATGAACAGAACCTGTCCTTAAGTTGTATGTGCTATCATTTATTTGCATCGGGACGAACCCTTTTGGAAGCATCTTGAACTCAAGATTTGTAGGTGACAGAATGATCGTCACTCTGAAAATTTTCATTGTAAAGTTTAGGTAAGAATCAAGATTTTTGTTTTATTATACAAGAATTTCGGTCATATGTCACTGACACGATTAAAAGATTGATGTCTTTTCTCAAATGTAGGAGTGTCGAAGCAATAAATAACCCGGCAAGACTAGGGTCGAACCATAGGGAGGTTAATTGTACAAATTATAAACAACAATTATAAACAACAACAATAGTAACAACAACAACAACAATAATAATAGTAGCAATAATAATACTAATAATACTAGTAGTAGTAGTAGTAGTAATAATAATAATAATAATA